TCCATACGTTTATCATCCTTATTAGTTTATGAACTCTTCAAGGTCAAGGGTTATTTCCCAGAACATCAGCTGGCACACATTGTTTACACTTAATAGATACTGGATGTTTATGGATTACACTGGCTTCCTAGGTAGGAAGGTCGGCTCACCCAAACTAACAGGACAGGTTAAATATAGATGACCACGAGAAAGAGCAACGTGATGGACTCCATCTGTAAGATGAATAATATGACACCCAAAATAGCCACGTAAGTCTTTTTGATTGTTCTGGCCACTTCAGGAAGCCAAAGGACATTGCAAGGGACATATCAGATCCTAGGGAAAATGGACGTGTTTCAGCAGGACCTTGATATCAATAAGACATCATTTTTTTCTGAAACCTCCTGGGTTTCCACCTGACCTTTGCACTAAGAGTGAACGCGACTGACAATCAGCAAGAGGCTGACCCTGCTCAGTGCACATGAAGACCGTACGTGGGTTAATATGCAGGAAGGTAGAGTGCCCACACCCATGAGGAAGGCTGAACATGGATTCATGGTTAAAGGAGCGGTGCTCAGCGCCAGACAGAAGTCTCCCTTCATTATGACAAATGAGCTCTGTTATACTATTATGTTAATAAATCAGGTCAAATGAAATGAAATACATTTGATTTTTGGTAGGACTACATGAACCATTAAAAAAGTACCTATATACACATATCATATAAGTACACATGTATATATAATGTGCAATGTATCTTTATATATTTTTTCTAAGAAAGCAATTTTGTTTGGTTTTCCATCAAAGATACCTTAAAATTATTCTGTAAGATTAAAACAATTTTGGAAGAATTTGGAATATAATTTTTGGCATTGTGTTTTCTTTTTGAAACTTCAGTTTAGAGAATGGGATCATTGGGTTTTAAGTGATCATTTCATTTTCCTCCCCACAAATGTTTTGCTCTTTTTTCTGCTCTTCTCTAGGTTGTCACTAGAGGGCAGCATATGCCCATTTTTAATAAAGTGGTCAGACCTTCCGTTTTCAGACAAAAGAAAACGAGGGAGGGGCAAATTTTGCCTTGCTGTGCTTTAGGAGCACACAAATTTTCATTTCCACTGTGTATCTTTATTTTACTAGTAATAATACCTAAATTACGGATAGAAAGATCCATATACAAGGAAACTTATTTTTGGAAGTAGCAAACGAATTAAGAATTCCAGAATCTCCAAATCATACTGTTAAACATGAAAATCCTGGAAACATACCTCCCATTTTCACTTCCTCTTTTATATTACTGTTTGTTTTATTTCTGTGAAGTCAAGGATGAACAAATATTTGTGTCATTTTTACAGAAATAAATATAACTGCCAAAAATACTCAGGTAGGACTAATAACAATACCAATTTTCTTTTAAAAAGAGTATTGACAAGCATACGTGTTCAGTAATTACAAAAAACTGGACTATATAGAAAAGCCCTAAGAGTTAGTGTAACTATTATTATGACTAATATCATTGACAGGTAAAAGTAAAAAATGGATTCTGAGCTCAGTATCAATCCACAGGCATACAGGCTTTGTCCATGCCTTGGGATAGCTGTCAATATCAATTTACAGAGGCCCTTTACATACACTCTCTCCTCCCCCAACACCACCACCCCATAGGCGTTAGTGAGTAGTCTCATTAGGACAAAGAGATGGAGGCTAGCTAGGACTTGCCCAGGGCCATGCAGGGATAAGCCAGGGGCTGCTGGGATCACACTGGGCTCCATGTCTGCTCTTTCCTCTGTGCGAAGGACTCAAATCTTAGGCTCCAGGCCATATCCTCTGCACTTCGGTTGTTCCTCATCCAGCTGTTTAACTTCTAACATGCGTGCCTGATCCCCTTGGCTTCTGATCACTCGCTGAGCATTTGTGATATACACTGTATGTGTGTACACGCACACATATATATTTAAGACACAGGTTTTAAAAGAAGTTAAACAGACTTCACATGTCACATTACACACTGGCCATCTTTGCCCTTGGTGCTGGTTTTTGAGGGAACTTTAGAGAAGATGTTGGGGTCAGGATTCTAGTCCTGAGGTGGAAACAGAGAGGGGTTAGTTAGAAGGAAGATCTCAGATAAGGCAAGTTCCAAAAAAGTTTTCATAAGTAGGAGTCAGGACAGCCTGAGGTGAAGCAGAGCAGGAGACACAGCAGGAGGCAGCAGATGAACTCACACAAACTAGGCTCAGATCTCTGAGGGAACCCCTGCGAACTGTGGGAAAACAAAGGGGGCTTGCTCTCGTCAGCAGCGCCTGCTTCCTCTCTGACCCAACCCCTCTGTGAGGGGACAAGAAGACAGTGAAAGCCTGAGCTTCTAGGTGAACACTGCACAGAAAAGATGATCTGCCACAAAAAAGCCACCACCTGCTTCTGGATCAACCAGGACTCCCGGCCACTTCCATCCAAGCCAAGGGGGAGAAGGTGTTGCAGACACGGGGGCCTTCCCAATCTGCTTGCAAGTCACCCCGCTGGAAAGTCTAAGAAACTGCTTCAGCTAATGGTAAATGAATGGTGCCTGGATGGGATGTGGAAAGGAAGCACTTCTCTGCAACAGAAAGTTTGGATGGAATCTTGTGAAACAGTATGAATTGATTAATTAGCACTACACAGTGAGAAGCTGTCATCCTCAGACAATGGAGTTCTACAAATTTTTGTGCAGAATGGTTATCTTCCTATTTGCAGAGAGTTCATCCTGGCAGCTTAACCTGTGCTACTATTTTTGTTCAGAAGACATGTTTTTAATACAGCATTGTACAAAAAGGCTACTTTTGTATTAGGTAAAACAGAGCTCACAGACTGCAAGCCACACATCCTAGCTTATCCTGGACTTATCTGCATCAAGTTGAGGGAGGACAAGGAAGCCACTAAGGTCCCAGGGGCTTTGTGAGAACTATCCCTGAGTGTGTAGGTAAGAAGGGACTGCCTTCGGAAGGAAAGGGTGCCAAAAGCGGGTCATCAGTACCACCAGAAATTCCTCCATCCTGGCCAGGAGCCCAGACCCCCTTTGGACTGAATTCTCTTTCATTTTCTGTAAGTGCAAAAACATCACCAAGGGACCAATATTTTTCCAGTTCTTCATCTTGGCAAGCTGAATCTGACAACATATTTGTTTAAATTCTATCTCCAAATCATCTTTCCAGGTTTGCATCACAGAGGAAAAGTATACTGCGGTTTCCTTGAGTTTAGCTTCTTAAGCAAAATCTCGGCAGTGAATGATGAGATCTACCCATTAACAGAGTGAAGGGGTGGCCATCCCCAGGGAAATATCCATAATCACACAAAGGCTGGGGGCCTGGGAGAAAGCCAGAATCTAATCCTGACTTCTGCTCTACTGAAAAAATTCCCATTGCTGGAATCTTTTGAAATGGAAGGAAGTTTAGGTAAAGAAAAGACAGAAGGAGCTGCTGTCTGCCTGAGGCCTTTGCAGCCTCCAGCACCACAAACGAGAAAGAAGCTTCAGGCTGGGCTCTCTGCCTTGTTTAGGCAGAGGGGCAGAAAGATAAATTATTTGGCATTTAATTGCTTTTTTTAAAAAAGATTTTATTATTATTTTTAATTTAATCTTTATTGTATTTCTCTCCATTACCGGTTCCCTTGGACCCCCTCCCTGCCGCAAATCACCATACTGTTGTCCATGTCCCTGAGTCCTTTTTCCTTTTTGCTCAATCCCTCCACGCCCAAACCCCAACCCCCAGCCTTAGCTGTCATCCTGCTCTCCAGCTACAAGTCTGCCCCTAATTGCTTTTTTCTTAATAATACAATTTCTTGGCATTTTATCCCACAGATAACAAGCAGCCTTTAGGCCTGGACTGTATTGTAAAAATCCAAGAAAACGAATTAAAGTGAGGTCATGTGAAAATTTTATTGTCAGCATGACTACTGGGGATGTGGGAAGAAGAGTCCATGTACCTACCTGCCTCCTCTCAGAGCCCTTCCCAGCCCCCGGGGCTGAAACCATTAGTTTGCACAAACCCTACCTTGAACTGCATTGGCCTCTACTTGTTTTCCCACGTGGGAAAGTAAGGCTGGAAAAGGTCATGCTGGCTTCTGGGTTTTTATCTCGCAGCTGAATAATTGCCCATATTCACAATTTACATTTTTAAAAGCATGTGTTAGAAATGCTAATGATATTCCCATACAAAATTCAAAGAAAATCAAGATGAGCTCTTCCATAAGTCATACACAGTAATTATCAGGAAAATGTGCCATTCTGCAGTTAAGTGTTTTAAATAAAGGTAAACCCTTTTATTAAGCTATAATCTTAGTAACATCAAATGGTGTGTAGTGTTCTCCCTGCTCCCCTGTACCACCATCCAGGGATAGCACCAGGAAGGATCAAACCTCGCTTCGTGAAGGAAAACAAAATGAGATAAGCGCAGTTAACATCACTTCTTAGGAAATTATGAAATAACCACAAACCTGTCAGAGCTGTATCTTTTTCCTGCTCACTGGCCTACTGCCTGGAGTATTGGTTGGTTTGCGATAAATATTGGTTAAATAAATAAATCTATGAGGCTTTTGTTTGGGCTAGGGACATCACCTTCTCAGGCCAGTAAAAAAAGAAAGACCTTTTCCACTTCACATTTTTATTCTGAAGTAGATTTTTTTAAATTGAGGTCTCTCAGGAGAGTTGACAGCATTTGATTTCAGTTGAAGTAACTGTATAAGTTATCTATTGATTTTCTGTTTCCAGTCATTAATCTGTTTCCTGTATCCTGAAAAGTTCCCTGCTCCCCATTCCTCCAACTACTGCCTGGACAGAACCAGGGTCAAGTTCTCACCTGATTCTCACTTGCCTTGGGGTCAGGGTGGAGCACCACATTTTGAAGCTCACATGCTCAGCCCACACATCACCCTTGTCCAGAGGCTAGGGCAGGACAAATCTGACGTTGATTAATTCACCAGTAGTCTTGCTAAATAGGCGGTGTGCCCTCTGTCCTCAGAGCATGCCCCGTGGGGCATCTCCCATTACGCACCTTATTACTGTCGGGGTGATCTCTGCACAGAAGAACACACTGAGGCTTCCCACTGCATGGGAGGCAAACATGCCCACGATGGAAAATGCGATGGAGAATTTGTCCTTGACACTGTCACTCATACCTGAAGGACAATCAGAAGGGGATGGTGAGGAGGAGCAGAGGGGAGGGAGAAGGAAGCTAGCGAGGCCAGAGCAGAGAGAGCAGGGGGAGAGGGGAGGAGGGAGGCCTGGGAACACATGAAGGGTCTTCCCTCTTCTCCTCTCCCCAATTTGAGGTACAGACCAGGTGCTCAGGTCCCTCTGTAAATGGAGGATCACCTCCAGGGGTAGAAGGTCAGGCCCTCCTGGCAGTAGACTTTGCCTGCATCTCTGTAAGCCCCCGTGGGTCTTGAATGCTGGAGCAGATGTGAACTCCACCAGAATTCCTTAGGCAAAAAGCCAGCCTGGCAGGAAGGAAGGCTGGTGGTCTCTTTGGTGCTAGAGCAGTATCCATTACGTCCCAGCATTCCATGGTGGCTCCAGAGAAAGTATCTGTATTCCAGAGAGCCCTGGTTATTCAGGCTTCAGGTTTGCCCAGTCAGATACATGGGACAGGGCATCTCAGGCTTGATTCAAAAGAACAAAAACTCAAATAACCCAAACAGAAAAATTTATGGACCTGGAGGGAAAGGTCTTAAACAACCCAAACATCTTGCAAATGGCACCAGAGTTTGACCTCACGCCAAGGTGGCATCTAGCGCAGAGCAATAGCATGCTGTTGGGGGTCATACACCTAACACAGCTCAGTTCCCTGCAAGGCTGCACGGGGACCTCAGGGCTGTCCCTGTGGAGGGCCCTAGTAGCATGGGCTCCGGTCAGGCCAGGCACGTGTGACCAGCATCACTGAGGTGCACAGGAGTGGCTCTGCCACGGTGGAGAGCAGTCAGATTGCGCGATTCACAAGGGGGACAGCAGCCTCCCCTGGCAGCACGGTCAGCCAGGCCTCCAGCACTCTCAAGCTTTCTGATCTTGTCCAGGCACTGTCCCTAAGACATACTGCATGGGTGGCAGCTGAGGGCCTGTGCTGGCTGCTGGTGCTAGGCGAAAAGGCGAGGGCATGCGTGCAAGCTGGGCACAAACGGGAGAATGAGCTGCTTTTTTTAGAGGCAAGAGGGAGTAGAGAACACAGATGTATGCTTATAGTGTCCAACCTACGGCCAACTTCAGCTGCAACTCTTGGAGGGTAAGGGAGGAGGAGAAACAGAGGAGAGGGAAACCATAGGTCTGTGAGTCTTTATGAAAACGTCCATTTGGATGCAATACAAAAATGATGACACACACAGCAAAAGCATGTGGGGCTTACCTGAGTCTGGATGCTGGCTGTATTTTCCAATCACTGAGCAGTGGAGATGATGGCACCCACCCGGCCGAGGATAAAGCAAGCGGGAAAAAGAGGGAGAAAGAAAGCATATTAGGCATGAAGTGACCGCTATGTTTCCATGTGACTGGTCTCTCAGTGAATTCCCCTCCAGAACTGGGCCCTGCGTGTTAGAGAGACAGAGGAGACCTGTAGGGATAGTCCCAGGGCACTGGAATTAACACCCGACTGAATAAAACTCTTTGTTTGGAAGGGCAGGCCTCAGATCCTGGGGATAAAATGTAGTTCTTCAGAACAGGGACTCTAGCACACCTCCCTATCTCAAGCCAAAGGGTTAATTTCATCATGTATAAAGTTATTCACTGCTGGCCTGGGCTCAAGGTAGTGGTAGTGCTGTGGGGCCAGACCCGGCAGGTGGCATTTCTTATGCTCTGAGCTCTGATCCTCAGTACTTGTCCTTTGCACAAAGTTCCTGTGGCCTTTCTGCTTGAGGACAAAGAGCATTGTGACACTCCCAGGGGCTGCCACTCCCCTGCACATCCACTCACAAAGGCTCCCTGGAACGGTAGCTTGGGTAGCCCCCAGCGGGGACAGGATGGTCAGGAGACAGACACTACTTATCCATTTCCTTGTCATTCACAGCTGAAACAAAGGCCAGTCTCAGGAGGGGGATGCAGGACGCATGAGAACTTGCCCATTAGAAAAATGGCTCCTGAGGTTGAAACCAGCTAATCTATATTCCAGTTTGTACAACAAGGCTGAAGAAGTTGTGAGTTTTTTTCTCTCTCTTCCTTCTGTTCTGGATGCTGACTCTTGTGCCTCGGCCACATGATGCAAACCTAGAAGCTGTGATCTGTGGTCTGTGGTGTAACTGGATGGTCTCTGAGCCCAATCCCCCGGCTTGGGTTAGCTCTTCTTGTGAAGGAGGGAATAATCAGTGGCCCCTATGTCCCCACAGTGTCCCAGAGCTTTCCCCAGGAGGACCCTGCCTGGGTGAGGAGGGCTCAGCTGTCCTGCTCATTCAGGTGTCACTATGGGCAGGTCAGAGAGGTGCCTGCGTCTTCTTCTGGGCAGGGAGGTGGGTGTATGTTCACCAGGAGCTGTTCTGAGAGTGCCTATTTATAGTTGGAGGGGCTGCATGGATTCCCTAGCTTTTCTTTACATTATTTTAAACATTTTCTGAGAGATTCTCTGGCCCCAAAACAAGCTGATGAACCTGGGAATGTCTACTGAAAAGCAGTGTCCAAGTGCAAGAATGTCAAAATGAATTTCTCCCTTAATTTCACAGGAAAGAAACAAGTCCTTGGTTCTTCTTTGTCATGTGATACATCACAAAGAGCAAGTCTGGCTGTTACTAAAGCCATGTCCACAGCAGTGCACTCAGGAAGGCTCTGAGCTGGAGCCCCAGGTTGCGTGGGGAAGGGGGCGAAAGGCAGTCACTAGGCACATTTCAATTAGAGCCAGTGTTTGCCTGTCCTTCCCAAACCATCTCCTCAAGCTGTTGATTCTGGAATATCAGGTCACTGACAACTGTTCTCAGTCTCATCCAGCCCTTTCAAACACCCTTTGTTATACACCCCTCTCCCGGGACTCCACCTCTGGGTCCTGCTGCAGAGTTGGTCCCACTTCCCAGCCCCACTCACGGTTGAGGAGCCCGAGCTGCAGCAGCGAGGCCAGGGCAGTGAGGATCATGAAGAGCAGCAGCCCGCCCCTGCGCCCCAGGAACCTGACCACCACGCACATGGCCAGGCAGGACGCCAGGGCAATGCTGGCCATGGTGTAGTAGTCAGCATAGAAGTTCTCGAGGAGTGGCACCTTCACCTCGTGGCCCATCATGCTCCTTGCAAAGCAGTGGTGGATCCCATACCCTGTCAGCCTGCGGGAAGACACATCAAGAGGGCCGTGTGTGGCATGAAGAGATAAGGGACCGTGCCATGCCCTGGGAGGTCACTGTGCCCAATAACCAGGGATGTATAAGCAATTCCATATGTGCTCAGAAGCGTGCTATTACCATCAATGGAAATACAGTAGAGTGACATGCAGATAGAAGGCTGCAGAGAAGTGACCCTCACTGGGCTGCCATCACTTTGGCAGAAAGGTGTGACAGCAACTTTCAGGGGAACCCAACATGGAAAACAATGTGTCCCTCACATGTCAACTCATTTAATCCATGTTGGTATTGGAAAAGCTACCGTCAGACCCACTTCACAGATGGGCAAACAGGCTGAGGGAGGTTCGGCAGCTGGCAAGTGACAAGTTCAAACACACACTGCCTATCTGTGTCTTTGCCTCCTCCTTCAGCACTTAAGGGTTCTGGAATCTTGGGAATCCATGCGGAGAACTATCTGTTTGACCCTTTTCTTCCACTGCTTGTCAAAGGCACCCAGAAGAAACTAGTCGAAAGTCAGGCCAAGCAGCCTTGGAGAGTTTGTTTCAATTCTTAATTTACCACTCTTTCCCTCCATTGTTGGAGGTCAAGCCTCTTTACTGCCACACAGGATCATAGAAACCTGCTGGGAACATGTGTCTCATCTGCTGCAGTCCACTCTGGGACACAGGATGAGTACACATTGGTGCACACCCGGGGAGGTGCAGCGGTGATGGCGCATACCACCTGGGCTGTCCCCAGGGCTCTCAAGGGCCCTTTTGGACATGGCCATGTGTGAAATGCTTGCATGCTGGGAGAGCCCATTTGTTAAGTCAGCGCTCAGTATCCATCCCAGAGCCCAAACTTCCCTTCTCCTCCAACCACCTCTGTGTGCTTTCATCGAGCCTTGAGGATGCATAAAGGCCAACTGCAACAGGCCCCCACCCCCTGCAGGAGGAAGCTGCCCTTTGCCAAATGCATGCATTTCCACTTGGGAAATCCCCAGCAGAGGACCCAGCTCCCCTGTGCTTTCCTTTCATAATCTAGCCATTGATGACATTCAGTGAGTCTCCTGGGATCCTGGAGATGCCTGCTTCTTCTTCCTGGCTTACAGAGGTGTCAGGGAAAGCTTCCACCTTTTTGTTTTGGTGGAAATGAAGTCCTCTGATGACAAAAGGTAACTTTAAGAGAATGAAGCCAGAGAGCTATACTCTTCCCCAGAGTAACAAGACCCACTAAAATGGAAACTTGTCATCTAGTCTTTGTCAAACTTTGTGTTTTTTTCCAAACTACAACTTGGAGAAGTCATTCGACTCTTAATGGTCCTATGGTCTGGCCAGTGTCTGCCTGAGATTAGACAATGGCGTGGTGGCCATGCCTGGGGCCGACTCTGGGCCAGGAGGCTGAGGCCTGAGGCCTTGGGCCCTGACCAACTGGTGACCATGGCTGGTCATCCCCTTGCCTGGGCCTTGGTCTGCTCATCTGCAGGGCAGGGTGTAAGTTAGGTCAGAGCTCTACCATTGCTTTGGCAGTAGGACCTTTTGTATACACGCCCAAGTTTAATCAGGAACCCAGATACTGAGAACTGATTAAATGGAGCTGCTTTGATAGAAATAGCTGTGGGGAGAGGTAGGACCAGACAGGACCACAGGCTTCTCTCTTACCTGACAGCAATCCTGAGATGTTTCACAAAGAGTGCAAATGCTTCTCCACTCCAAGACCCCTAATCCCAAGTGAGAGCTTACTCCCCACTTGCCTACATTACCACTTGCCCTGAAGGAGAGTTAATCCCCCCAGATGACTTCTGATCCTGACCGAGGAGGGCCCACCTTGTGTCGTCAGGGTTACTGAGCTTTGAGTCAACAGGAAAGACCTAGGCACACACTGAGACTGGGACAGGGGCTGTCAGGACACTATGTGAGTGACCAGGGGATGCCAGGTTCAAAGTCATGGCAGCAGGGCTAGATGGGAATGACATGCCTCTTAAGAATGTCTCTGGGGTCCCTACTGGGAGGTTCAGGCTGGCTGACCACAGCCCACGGTTGCTGAGAGTCCGGGTCTCTGATGAGCACAGGGCTGCAGCTGCTGGCTCCAGGTAGGAACAAGACCACTGAGCAGCCCGGGCTGGGGAGAGCCAGGGCCTCACTAGTCTCGAATCCCCTTCCCTGTGCCAGTGCCTGAAAATCCCAACCTGGAGTTCCCTCCCCACTGTGCCCATGAAGGAGGTACATGCACCAGAACGCAAATGGTAAGACAGGATTTCCATGGATGTGAACCTACTCTCTGATAGCACGAAGGACACACATGCGTGTGGAGCACGCAGGGTAAGGTGCCTGGCCTGCTGGGCTGGGGGTAGCTGGCTGGAGCCCTAGCTGCCCTGAGGCTGGGGGTGGGCTCCATGTCTCCCAGCATGTGTAACCCTTCAGGGCGCTGGTTAGGAAGCCCTGACAGGCTTATCAGACTTAACTAGCGTCCCTTAGCAAAGGTGGAGCCCTGGGCAGGCCAGAGGGCCCAGCTTGGCCATAATTCAAAGTCCAGCTAGGGAGGAGGGAAGCCCTGCCTCTTTTCCGGCCCCTCCCTGACCTCGGCCTCAGATGTGTCCCCCTGGTGACTCACGAGTTCACACACAGGACCACGATGTTCTTCCACAGGTTCCGGGTCCCCACCATTTTCACGATGCAGACCTTCTTGGGCCTCCTGGAGAGCTCCTTCTCCAGCTCTGCAGAGAGAGAGAGCCTGTGACCTCTCAGCAAGACCCTGCACAGGGAGCTCCAAGACAGCCCTGTCCCCCAAGTTCAGGCATCAGGAGAAGGGGAGAATGCTTCTGGTTTGGATTTTTTCCCCCTTCAGGCTAGGGGACAGAGTCTGGCTGTCATTGTAGAAAATGTGTTCAGACACTAACTTTGCCGCTCAAACTTCCCCCTGGCGCTGAAGGGAGCCAGGGCATGCTGTCAGTACACAGTACCTCCCCACCGCAGAGCCTCCCCGGGAACCAGGCAGGACACAAAGGAATGGTCAGCACAGGCTCATTCCACTCTGGCCGAGTACAGGACCAAGTGATGGTGTTCTAGGTTACTGAGCACTAACCGGGCATATGAAAACAGTGGTTTCCTCAGAGTCTGATCTGCCTCCTCACCCACTGCTCAGAGACTGGGAGAAGCACATGCTGATATACTCCTTAACTCTGAGGGCAGGACACACGATGGCTGTAGCTGCCCCTTCTGAAACTGCCCCTCAAGTACATATATCTTCGAAAGAGAATAAATGAAGGAACTTGTATGCTTATATGTGATTACACCTACATCCATATATGTGTATTCTTTAGTTAACAGTCAAAAGTCTTGGCAGCTGGACAGGACCGGTGATGTTTTGGCTGAAAGTGATGTAACCAGCTACAAAGTTGTGAGACAGTTTCTCGTGAGGCTCACTAGCTCTGAAAGCTTGAGCCTCACTCTGAACAGACTGATGGTTCTGCAGTGACGCATTAACAGGGTCAATGAGTTTGCTGAAGTCCTGGGGCTGACTGGGCAGTTTCACAGGGAAGATCAAAACAGGCAGTGTTTGGACTGCCACACATCCAGCCTCCCAGGCCCCTTTCCTGCTCTCCTAGCCAGGTGTGTCCTTGGGGAATAACTCCCTACTCAGGAGTGAAAAGAGAAATAGAAGACTTAACCAATCTGGTGGGTGGCCAGTGCTCTTTAAGACTGTTAAAGCCATGAAAACAAGGAAAGACTGAGCAACTGTCACAGACCAGAGGGGCCTGGGGGAATGGGATGACTAAATGCCCTCCTAGATAGGATCCTGGAGAAGGAAGAGGTTATTAATGGGGAGAATGGTGACATTCAGATAAAGGCTGGAGACTGGTGAACAGCACTGCACCAGTGGCAGCTTCTCAGTTGTGACAAGTGCCATGGTAATAATATTAGATGTTAACAAGAGGGGAGACTGAGTCAGGGGTATTCAAAAATTCTGTACTATATTTGTAACTTTCCTGTAAACCTAAAGTTACTCCAAAATTAATTTACTGTTTTTTAAAAAGCAGTAGGGCTATGAAGGTCCCCCATTTACTGAGGAGGCCTCTAGAGCTCAGAGGAACCAGTACTGCCTCAGAGGGACCCCGAGTAGCTCCCTCAGGGGGTCTCTGAACAGTCCTCCCTCCATATCCCTACCCCCTGCCACCTGCCCCCACCTTACTTCTCTCCTTTTCTAGCTTTTCCCTGACATCCAATGGCAGGAGGGCCAGAAGCATCATCAGTTACAGTTTGAAGGAAAATACGTTGTATAATTATACGAATTTAGGAATTTTTATTAAAAAAATTTTTTTTCTTGGATCTGTGTCACCAGCTGAGGCACAGAAAGAAGGAAAAACCTTCTCTAGGTCTGAGGGATACCATGCCCCTTGAATTTCCAGAACTTTCTTCCTTCCCATATTTAGGTTCAAAGATTGAGGTCTGTGCACAAGCCAGATGGCTGGCATTTTGGTCTCTGTCCACAGACCCTCTCCTGAGGTCTTCCTGACGTTTATGTTCCCCTTTGTAAAAACAGACTAATTTGATTTACAAATATATTTTCCCCATGGTTAAAAGTCTAAACAACTTTTAAAGAGCATTGGAAATATTAATTAGGAATGTTACGGTTAATATGTTGGATCCAATGATCCAAATATCTTCACTTTTGGAAAAGTTAACAGCAATCAACTCTAATACTTACACTTGCTCACCATGGAAATCTTACAAGAAGAAAACTTAAATGTCCATTAGCATATTAATATGTTTAAAGATTTTGTTTTTTTTTTAATGTGGCCCAAACTTAACTTCTAACACATTATTATAAATAAAATAGATGTTGCTAAAGAAGCTGTAGCAAATGCAATTGTGAACAGAGGTTCTTTTTTCTTTCTTTTTTTTTTTTAAACTAGCATTAAACTCTAGAGTCCCAAGTCTAAAAATTGACTGCAGTCTACAGAGGTAAGTGCATTATTCTAAATGGAATTAAATTAACCTGTCTGAGGCTATTGATATTTTGTTTCTGTTAGACATGTCACCAGCCTATCAACATAAAACTTCCTCAGCACTAGGTCTGTTCTGGGATGATAATCTAACAGCTGAGTTATAGGAAACATTAGATGACTTCTGAGACCCCTGAAAGGTAGCTGAACAGGTAATGGAAAGAGGTCTTTCCATCTCTCCGGCTCTCAGGCAGAAATATCAGGGAAATTCTAAAACCGTGCATGTGGAAATAATAACAGGAGGAAAAAGGGGCACTGAGAGTTGACCAGGCTCTAAGCACCAAGGAAACAACTGTTAAAGAAATTTCTTTCCCTGCTCCCCCGCCAAAGCTCTTCAACCCTCTTGATTTAGAGCCATTAGAAACATTTCAAAACAGAAAAACAAGTAGAGCCAAGTTAGAAATCTTCCACCCAAGCCTCCTACTTAAGCAGCCAGGCACTTCCTACTCTCCATTCTGCAAGCCTTTCCACCCCCTGCCTTTGCATTTCAGCTAATCCCTGTCACAAACAACCGGAGGGCACTGGTCTGGCTGGGTGGGGTCCCTTCCCTGACCTGGAGTGTAGCAAGGGGTCTGACAGTCCCAGGTGAGTCCCAGCTTTCAGAATTCTTGTTGAGGTTCCCTGGGAAAGTTACATAGTTGCTCTGTGCCTCAGTTTCTCATCTCTTAGGTGGGACAATGCCCCCACCTCAGAGTACTATAATGAGAACCAAACGAAAGAAGCAGCAAAGTCCTGCATGGACCTCAGTCCTCCCGCTGACCCAGTCTGTCACAACTTCTCTACACCAACTGTAGAAGGGAAAATGTCCCCTGCAGACCTAGTGGAAGTGTCATGACCTCTCTGTGGTTTTGAGATCCAGGGGTGAGGCCGAACTCTGCTTCCTGAGGACAGCAGAGGGTGAAGACAGTGGTATCAAAGCCAGCCTCAGAGAAGCAGGGGAAACATATCGAGGGTAACCTGCATTCACTTGGATGGGGGTGCCACATAAACTGGCTTTGCTTTTCTACTTGGGTACACTGTTAACACATTCCTGGTAAAACTGGAAAAACATCAGTTATAGAAATGAAAAACACGAGAAGACTGAAAGAGAAGGGGGTTCAGGAAGAGGGTACAAAAAGATGGAAGAAGAGAATGAGAGGGATAAGAAAAAGAGAAAGAGGAGGAGCAGGGGGAGGAGCAGGAGGAGCAGGAGCAGCAGCAGCAGCAGCAGCAGCAGCAGCAGCCACCCCCACAAGAGTTATCACAAAATGCACTAAAAGCTCCTAGGAAGTGGCTCTGAGACCCCCGGTGAGCCCCTGTTCAGAAATAGAAGTGCCTGCTGTCTCTCTGCCACGTGGTCCTCACTCCTCAGGTTTGGATTTAGAAATGGTGGCACTCGGCCGACTGAAGAGGTTTGCTTCAGATACAAGTAACAGTTGAGAGTGTCTACAGGGATGTTATCATAAAATCACCTCAGACAGCCCACTCTCCAAAAGTTATCCAAGTTCCCTGCAAGCGAACTCCTGACCTCTGTAATGCCCTCTCAATGCACGTGGCTGCAGCTGGCGAAGCCTCCTGCACGGGGAAGGAGATGGAGTTGCATGCTACAGTGGTTAGATGCAGGATGCTAAGGTCAACTATAGTTTCTTCACTTGCCAGTGGTGTGACTTTGAATAGGTTACCTATTGCTGGGCACCCTGAGGTGGCCTGATACATGGCCCCTCTTCTCACCGCAGGTTCCAAACAGATGGGCAAGACAGAGTGAGGCAGGTGACGACAAAATCCATGCTCTGTCACTGGCAAGGGCCCGAGGTTGGGGCGCCTGCATTGTGCACACTCCCCTGCCCATCCTGGCATGTCTGGGCCAGGCTGGCTTCACCAGTGCGCTGCCCAGAGAAGGCCTGATGTGTGGGGATACAAGACCTGCTCCCTGCATGTGGCTCAATCTCAAGGAGAAAAAGAGGGGAGTGAGTTTACTCTCCCTCCTCTGGGCTCCTTCCACGTGGAGGGAATATGGGGCGTGGGGAAGCAGTGCTCCTTACACTTGGCCTCTCTGGGCCCATTTCCTCACATGTACAGCAGGGATGACCTGATGATTGATCTCCTAAGGCTCGGATGAGGATCAAATGCACATAAAGTGCTGCACCGCATGCCTTGCGGGGTCACTGCCCAATGACTGCTAGGGTCGCTCTTACTAGGAGCACCAGGTTGAGCCCTTATTCCAAGATTTCTCTGTGCAGTGGGCTGCAGTATATGTGGCCACATTTGAAACCTGCAAACGCTGCTCCTGCAGTCAGTGCTCAGAATCTCGGGAATTATGATACAAGGGCAGCTGTCAGTACTTGGACACATCATGTGACACTAACAATTGTACGAATGATACTGTGAGAATGATACTCTGAAGCACATTCAAATATCTACAGTAATTCAGCTGCTAATTCCACCAAGAAAGTCTGCCACGTTCAACGATAAACTGAAGATTTTTTAAAAAGAAGAAGGGGCATGGGAAATTTTGGAACTTGAGGTGTTCCTCTAGTCTGAATCCAAGGTTAGGGTTCACGGACATGGGCAGGAGCTCCCCTACACTCATGCACCAACAGCCACACCTGAGGCACTCATCTGCCTAGAGGCAACATATGCAGCGACTGCCGCTGACTCCCATGAGAAACTGCCCCACCCCTTCCTGACCACAGGAGACCACATTTCACTTTTTGACAGATGATCATGGAATG